ATTGTTGTTTCAAAGGTCTCTTAGGTCTTGTTCACTTTTCTTTAATCATTTTTCTTTCTCTTCTTCAGACTTGATCATTTCAATTGTCCTAGCTTCATGTTTGCTGAATCTTTCTTTTGTCTGCTTAAATCTGCCTTTGAACCCCTCTAGTGAATTTTTCATTTCTCTTATTGTACTTTTCAGCTACAGAGTTTCTATCTGGTTTCTTTAAATGTTTTCTACCTATTGATATTTCCATTTTGCTCATACATAGTTTTCTTGATTTCTCCATATCTTCCTTTCTAGTTCTTGAGCATCTTTAAGACAGTTGTAAAGTCTTTGTCTAGTAGGTTTGGTTTCTTGTCTTTCTCAGGGACAGTTCCGTAGGTTTACTTTTTCCTTTGATTGGGCCATACTTGCCTATTTTTTGGAATGCTTTATGATTTTTTTGGACGTTTGGATCTAATGATGTGGTAACGAGATTCTACCTCCTCCTCAGGGTTCACTTGTTTTTCCTGGGTTTGGGGTTTTTCTGGTTTTGTTTTGTTTGTTATATTTTTATTGTTTTAGGCTCTCTCCTAAGGATCTGCCAAGGATCAACATGAAGTGTAAACTTAAGATCATCTCAGGCCTTTTCTGAGCCTGAGCCTTTCCCTGGGTATGCATGGTGACTTTCTGCTTTCCTTGTATGTGCAGTTGCTTTTGAGTGCCCTAGTCTTTAATGCCTGGTTCCGAAAATGGGAGAAAAAAATGAAGTGGGGAGGAGAAGGTGCCAGTTCTTTAAATCCTTTGAAGTCACTTTAGCCAGAGGCGGAGCAGCTTGCAGTAGTGAGGGGCATGTGCCGATGGCTGCCCACCTCTGTGTCTGTACCTTTGTGATCAGAAGGAGCAATCAGCAAACAGAACACAGACTTCTGATATTGGAGGAAAGGACCTGATTGCCCACCATGGCTCTCACAAGCTGTGTGCAAGGTCTCCTGCAACTCCTCCACTGCCTGCATGGGCTGGAGGTGTGAGATGGGTAGTTGTCACTAAGCTAAGAGTTGGAATCGACCAAAATTAACCACTGTTTACCATGCAAGCCTTCCCCTGGAAGTTACAGGCCTTTCATAGATTCCGGAGTTCCAATTACTTATATCAGATAGACTCTGCCAGTACTATTTTTGCTTTGGTTGGGAGACAGATTCTTGGTGCTTCCTACTCTACCATCTTCCCAGAAACCTCTTTCTTCACTTTCATTTTTGAAAGATAGTTTTGTAACATTACATAGTTACATAATTACATTCTTGGTAAACAGGTTTTTTCTTCAGCACTTTGTCATCCCACTGCTTCCTGGCCTTTATTTTTTCTAATGAGAATTTAGCTGTTAATTGTATTGGTGTTCCTTTGTATATAAATAGTTACTTTTCTCTTGCTGCTTTCTAATTTTTCTCTTTATCTTTGCTTTTGATCATTTTTACTATGACGTGTATGGGTGTGGATCTCTGTGTTTATCCTATTTGGTATTTGTTGAGCTTCCTGTGTGAGTAGCGTTTTTCCTCAAATTTGGGAAGTTTTCAGCCATTATTTCTTCAAATATTTTTTTCTGTTCCGCTCTCTGTCTCTTTCTCTCCCTCCCTTCCCCACTCCTTCCCTCCCTCCTCAGCTTCTCTCTCTCCTCTTCTTCTTCTTCTGGGACCCCCATCATGCATATATTGGTGTGTCCAATGGTATACTATGTTTCTCTGATGCTTTATTCATTTTTCTTCATTCTTTTTTCTCATTATTCAGCTTGCATCATCTCTACTTACCTTCAAGTTCACTGAGTTTCTTCTGCCAGTTCAAACCACTATCAAGTTTCTCTAGTGAATTTTTCATTTTGGTTATTGTACTTTACAATTCCAGAATATCCATTTGGTTCCTTTTTATTTGTATCTCCTTATTGATATTTTCTTTTCGATGAGATATTGTCATTATATTTTCTGTTACTTCTTTAAGTATGGTTTCCATTGGTTCCTTGAACAGATTTGCAATGGCTGTTTTGAAGTCTTTGTCTGTTAATTCTGACGTCTGGGCTCTCTCACAGACAGTTTCTATTGCCTACTCTGTCTCTTGTGTATGAGTTATGTTTTCCTGTTTCTTTGCATGTCTCATAACATTTTGTTAAAAACTGGGCATTTTATATATTGTGGGATTTATATATTGTGGGATTTCCAATTACTCTCCACCCCCACCTCTGGCTTGCTGTGATTGTTTTCTTTTTTATTTAATCACTTGGCTGGACTAATTTAGTGAGGTTTATTTTCCCTTCAGTGTGATGTCTCTGGTTTCATTCCTTAGAAGGTGCAGCCTTGGGCATGCACACAGTCACTTGGGGTGACAGGTTTTAACAGATCTTTCTTTCTTTTCTTACCTGCCTCTTTCCCTGGTTCTCTCTGGTAAGTTAGCTTGTTCTCTCTTGTACAATTTAGCTTGCTGCTCTTGTGGAGCTACCAGCCTCCTCTTAATTGCTAACCACCTGGTTCTCCATTGTTCCTGAGAGCGCCTTAGGTGTGAACTTCCACCACACTTGCAAATAAAATAATTTCCTTTGGGGAGAGCCTCAGAGTTCTCTGTCCTTATAGCCTGCCGCAGCCCCAAGGAAAAAACCTCAGACGCCTTCTGGGGCTGGCAGTGGGGCCCATGGCCTGCTTCTCTAGCACTCATATGCCTGCATTATGAGCAGAGCTCAGCTTGTACTGTAGCCTCTGGTCCCCTTGACTTGCCCCTGCTGGCATGGAAACTTCACCCTTTGAGCATATTAGGGAGAAGGTGATCAGGGTCCCAGTATTCTTGGCCTGCTGCACCTGAGATAGAGCCTCCATCCTATAGTGGGAGCTGAGTGGAGGAAGGGAGTCCTGACCTCTTGGCTGCACTCACCTGGAGTTTAGCCTTTGCAACACAAAGGTGGGGGGCCTGAGAAATACTGGCAGCCTCCCCTCGCTGGGACATACATACTATAGCCCATGGTTGGGAACTGGAAGGAGAAGAAACATATATGCCACACAGTCTTAACTTTCTTATGAGATTTAGATGTTCCTGAATGTTCATCTGCTGTATGCCCTTAGGACAACATGCACAGATTTTAAATGTTTTTTTCTTGTTTTTCACCACCTACGGTAGGGTGTGGAGGAGTTCAGAGCTTCTCATGTAGTCATTCCAGAAGCTGTTTACCTACTTATTGTTAATCCTGTACAGTTTGTCTCACCAAAAATAGTTTAAAACAATGAAAGTTTATTCACATCCCTTATGACATTTAAAAAATGAAACTTTTATAATCTCTAAACCCAAACTATGAATTTAGAAAGAATAAAAATTCTTAAGATTTTGAGAGTTTAAAAAATCAGTAAAAAAATCTCAGTAAAAAATTCAGAAAAAAATCTCAGTAAAACCACATCCAAGGTAAAAAAAAAAATGTATCCAGACATGGAATTGTAAGAGAATATTACTTCAAGCAAACTATTGTTATTTTAAGGCCAAATTTATAATTGCTTTTTGCGTGTGTGTGTCAGTTTGCTTGGATATCTTTCTTTCACATCAAGGATTGCATTTTAATACACAACTATATAAAACCGTAATGTCCAGGAACACCGGTTACCATCAGCCAAGAGCAATGCTCTTCACTCACTGCTTATCCAATTCACAGGGTCCCCAATATCAGGAAGAGTAATAACCAAAGAAGCAAATCTGTTCTCTTTTTCCTTTAAATGCTATTCATAGTTGGCTGTCTTCTTAAAATTCTGGAGCACAGCTGGAGTTTTCTTTTTATAGATCACATGGACTTTTAGATATGTCACTTATGACTGACTTTATAAAAGCCATAGGTTGTGGGTATGTGTATGTGTGCATAATTTTTTAAATAACTAAAGATGATCAGAGAATATTACTTCAATCTAAAAACAAAAAACCCGCATCAAGTGAAACTTTCAACTGCCTTCACCATTATGGTTATACTTCTAAGAAAGGGATTACACAAATTATAGTTAAAAGAAAAAATCTCCTCATGTATTTGAATTTCCAAGCAAAAATTTTTGCTAATAACTTTAGACACCAATGTTTCTTTACTGTAATGACAGAATTATTTTTAGTACACATAACAGGTACACAACTAATAAACATTTAGATTATTTTACAAAATTTTGAAACTTCTTTAATTTGGAATTTGATAGTTCAAACTATGCAGTAGTTTAAAGCAAAGTTTATAGCTGCATTATAAACAAGTATTTTAAAAACTGGTAACAAATTCTACTCTATTCCAGAAACCCATTTTGAAGAATCTAAACAGAATTGCTTAAATGTAAATGGCATACAGAGAACAGATGTCCAGTTGTCAGGAGTATTTCACAAAGGGATTCTGCCGGGTTTGGAGGTTCAGCAAGTGTTCAGGTCCATTCTAATTCTAAAATTCTACAGTTTTCCTAGTAGTTCTATTAAGAAACAGTTATTTCTTCTATTATTGCCAAATTATATCATTCATAGATGGAAACTTTAAGATGTCACTATCGGTACTTAGAATAAATGTCATCTTTTATACTATGGTGAAACTCACAAGGGTCTCCTCCCTACTTGTTCCAGACTGAGACCTTGTCCCTGCTGTTTCAGACTAAGTTTCACTATGATTGAAGAGGACCTATTTTAGCCTAAATGTTCTCCTTCTCTTGGCAATGTCATAAACGATACAATAGACAAAATGAATTTTAACAAAATGAATTTTTAAAACATTTCAACAAATGTTCCTTTCATATTCAGAAATAAACGCCTGTACCTCAAACTCCCTATGTTAAACATAATAAATGATTTAAATGCAAACAGTTGGTATACATGCTGCTTGCTCAGTTCTCTCCAAATAGGGATTTATGTCTCATGAAAAAAAAGTAGCTTCAGGTTAAATCATAATGCTAAGACACTAAGTAATTATGATGATCTCTTTTACAATTCAATGTTGGATTCTTGGTTCTGAGGACATGGACGCACACACACACAGATTTTTTTTACGTAGATGACAATTTAGATTTAAGATATACACTTTGCAAAATATTTACCCACATATTCTCCAGGAATCGTTAAGAGAGATGAAATGTAAAAACAACTACTTAGAGATTTTGTGGCTTCTAAAAACAGTTATGAGACTCACGAATAACTAGAAAAAAATCCTGATTCCTTAGAGTTAGTTCTAAGTGTTATTAGACGACATAATTTCAAGTAATCATAATTTTCTATTTTTGAAATACTGGTTCATAAAAAATCGAATCTCCATGAATCAAAGTAGTGGCATGGCAGTGAATTACACTGAAAATCAGGTCTACAAAAGACACTCTTGGACATCATCACTGAGTATCTTTAATACAGCCTTCAAAGGTCTGTGCAGCACTTTGAAATATGAAATAATTACAGTTGGAGCAGTTACTCTAAATCTCAGTAGGTAATTCCTACAGCAGTACTTGTTTACTCAGAACTGTTTTCATTTCAAATATATGTAAACTTTCTCACAAAGTCAGGACACAACTCACAGTTTGAACAGAAACCTCAGTATTTGAGTCTCGGCATTAAGTAAAATAAACATTACCTATCAGGATGCTTTCGAATGCAAATCACTCCTTAAGGTAAATGGGATGTAATTTCTAACTTGTGGTAAAAGTGAAGAAATCGTTTTTTATGTGAAGGCTTGACCAAAATCAATTAGTCAAGTGCAAGATTTTTACCTTATGGAACAAGTCAAACTCTACCCACACAACACATCTGGCAGAGATCTGGATGCAGGTACACCTACAGTTGGGGACTGGATGTCCCTTAGCTCGGCGCAGTGAGAGAAAAAGGCAAGCCGTGGATCAGCCCCCATTGGTCATTGGTCATTACCTCACTGATAACAATGCCTACTTTGCTTACTGGAGAGTGTATCTTGCAGTGGAGACACACTTCTAATTCTAGAATGCCAGACAGTGGGGGGAAAAGAAGGGTCCACTTTTTAAAAATCCATTCTTTAAAGTCTTTTAACCATTTTGGTTAGGTATGGAATGACTCATTTTCTGCTCTAAAGACAACCAATCTTTTTTTTTTAAGTATTGACTTGCCAATTTATCTTTGATAAATGATTAAGAAAGATAAATGAATCTGCTGACTTTACAAATAAGAATATGTGAATAAGAATATATATATATATATATATATATATATATATATATTTTCTGAGAAGTTATTGTCCCATGCTTCTGATTTAAAATGTGACTAAGTTCTCTCTCTCTAAATGAATAAAGTGTTCATTTAAAATTTTAAACTTTAAACTTAAATCATCCTTACTGCACTGTTATCATTCTCTTTACTTTTTATTTTCATATCATTTCTATAAATATTCAAATTAAGAAACAAAAATCCCCAATCTTGAAACCAACTTACAATGAAGTTAGTTTATAACTTTTAAAATATTTTGTTAAAATGTAAAAACCCTGAAATTACAAACAAAACATTTACAATTTTACAGTATATATCTAATTTATTCTTTTAAAAAAATATTCTGAATTGTTTTTATACAAGTGACCAAGTGTAGTTTTTTTCAAATGAAACTCCTCTACAGGCTAGAAGAGGGTAGGTGGTATTGCCCCACTGAACACCAACACAAATTTCACTCTTCATGCTGGGACTTCAACTATTTCAAAATAGTCATTTGGTAGAATCACATAACCCCTCTCGGAGACGTCGTCTTTCTCCTTCTGGAAGTGCACGACCTCCTTTAGCTTCTCCAGCTGCCGCTCCTGTCTTCTGCACCGCTGCTGTGCGGTCTTGAGCTTCTTTCTGAGCTTCTCTACTTGCTGTTCGAGCTGATGAATCCTCTTCCTCTGGTGCATGGTGTCCTCCACAGTGTAGTTGTGGTCACAGAAAACGGAGAGGTTATCAGGGGTCTGAAGAGGAGGCATGAGTAACCCGATAGCAGCATCAACCTGGGAAACCGGGGGTGTTGAAGGAGGTCGGGGAAGCTGTTCTTGGGGCTCTGGAAGATCTTCCTTCTAAAACAAAGATGCAGAGCACGTTTCAGTTTCATGACGAAACAGTTCACAAGAACTCATCTAGAATTTAAGAATACTAGACTCATTTCTGTCTCCTCGGTATAGAAACATTCTAAAATGAGAAAACAGTTCAAGTTTTAATTGTACTTTTCTTTCTGAAGTAGAAATGGGATGCAAGTAACACAGAATGATTATTAAGATTTAATTAAATATTAAGCACTTAAAACTGAGGGGAAAAATACTTTGAAACTGAACTATCACTGACAAAGAAAAATCAAACCTTATCAACATGTAAGTAGGACTACAGAGTGATCTCAAAGTAAGTTATGAAGCTAGACTGAGTTTCTTAGTGTGAGGATATTTAACTTTAATAAACTGCACTTTGTATTTTTTAAAAGTATTTCACTGTGAACAGTGGTTATTTACAAGTGATGGGTTCCAGGCAACATTTATTTTCTTAACACTACTCTGGATTTTCCACAGTGAACACATTAATTTTATAAACAGAAAACCACCCAATATTTTAAAACACTTATTACCTTGTCATGTGGTTCAGTACAAAGAAATATTGTGGGGACAGCATCCTCTTTCAGTAACTTGTTGTTGCACTCCCTCTTAAAGCAGTCCGGAGTAAAGTGTTCTGAGCAAATGCTGCTGTACTTGGTGGGCTTAAAGTTTTTCCTTCTGACAGCTGCCTCCCATTTTTTACAAAGACTGGGTCGAGTAAGAGGAAACCTAAGAAGACGACATAATTCAGTTTTCCAACCTTATTCAAAAAAAAAAGGCACACCCAGACTTTCCTGCTTAGAAAAGAACTAGCTTACATCGGTGTTAACACACCAAGGAGGCATTTGATTAAAAAACCAGCCCTGCCAATCTTTTTTTTTTGACAGTGTTTAGTTGTGTCCTTATTACCTTAGTTTGTTGAGAATGTACTTGTTTTGACATAGAAAACAGACTTGTGGCTGCCAAGGGTGGGAGAGGGGGAGGTATGGAGTGGGAGTTGGGGATTAGCAGATTGGAACTATTACATATAGAGAATGGATAAACAACAAGGGCCTACTGTATAGCACAGGGAACTATATTCAATATCCGGAGATAAACCATAATGGAAAAGAATACGAAGAAGAATGTATACATATGCATAACTGAATCACTTTGCTGAACAGCAGAAATTAACACATTATAAATCAACTAGACTTGAATCAAGTAAATTTTTTTAAAATGTACTTCTTTTAAAATCCTATAACTAAAGTGACCACCACTAATGTGGAATATAAGTCATCCCTCCCAGCATGGTATCTTTGTTCTTCTTAAAAAGCAATATTTCTTACAGGAATCTGATTGATCACATAACAGCTATAAGAATGTCAGATACAATGACATATACAATCTAAACAGGACAGGCTGATTAAGAATTTACATTATAAAAAAATATTCTTATTAAAAGGTAGCCATGTGGATAGATGCACGCAGGTGGCAGAGTTAAGTGATGGGAGGCTGGGGTCGAGGCCCACATGCAGCGATATTGTAAATAACCTTCACTAACAGATACAGGGATTCCACACACATCTAAACACACAAGGGTAAATCGTATAGGTCCACTATCTGTTTATCTCAGTTTTTAATGCTTAACTTTTATACTGAAGACACTAAAAGTTTCAGGTAAAAATACAGGCTATAGAGTGAATTTGTATTAATTATTTTTTCACCAGTGATTTTCTGCATATTATAAAACAAAATTGCACGTTTATAACTATGTACTGAGAAAAAGAAGCTTTTGATTCTCAGAATCAGTATGACAAATATGAATTAATCAAATTAGTTAAATCATAGTGAGAAAGAAATAGAGAAAAGTATTCATTTCGAATTACCTCTTAATCAACTGAAATATGTCCATTAGGCCCAGATAAAGGGAGCTAGGAAGAGCTTAAACTTATTGTGATTTTATTCTTCCAGGTCAAGGATTTAGTGAGCTGGGGGATTGGAAAGAAGCCAAAAAAGGGTGCTTTGCATCTGTGTTCGACAGTTCCTCTTCCAAGTGAGGTACGCCTGAGCCTGACTCTGCTGTGATCAGGAAGCTCTAACCCACCGTTGCGGCAGTCCCTTTTCTTTGCCCAGCATAGCTGTTCCCACTGCCATCAGGTAGAAAGTGAGAAAAGGACTCCTAGAAGGTTCCTGCTGGAAGTGCCTCTAGAAGTACAAACATGGTAGCAATCACTGATAAAACTCAGCACTCAGGGCCTCCAGACTCAAGGACTACAATGCAGGTTCTTTCTGAGGTCAAGATCTTTCCCATTTACTTCCCCAAACTGTTCTTTTAGATAAGGGCTTAGAGGCAGGCTAGCCCTTCTTTCGATTTAACAGCCAGCAGAAACTCAGTATTTCTGATGTGTGAATGTCATCCTTAACCAGTCTGCAGTGCCAGTGAAGGGTCTTCCCTATGTTTAGATTCCCTCTGCCATATCATTAGAAATGGGGAGGTGGGAACTGAATGCCTTTGATCACATCACCATCTCCAGACCTACTCCTTCACTTTGGAAGTCCTGGAGGTCAATTCATCAGCTTTCAGAAGTTCTAATAGATCAAGAGGTAATAGAAGGACATACTGAACCGAATCCTGGAAGTGTTAAGTGTTCTATCCCCTTCTCGGAAGGGGAAACATCAATACTCAAGATCTCTTTAAAGGGACTTGCTTGGTGACACAGTGGATAAGAAGAATCCGCCTGCCAATGAGGGGGACACGGGTTAGAGCCCTGGTCCGGGAAGATCCCACATGCTGCGGAGCAACTAAGCCCATGAGCCACAACTACTGAGCCCGTGTGCCACAACTACTGAGCCCCCGCGCCAGGCTCCGCAACAAAAGAAGCCACAGCAATGAGAAGTCCACGCATGGCAACGAAGAGCAGCACCCGCTTGCCGCAACTAGAGAAAGCCCGTGTGCAGCAACAAAGCCCCAACGCGGCCAAAAATAAAAAATTATTTTTTTAATTAAAATCTTAAAAAAAAAAGTTCTCTCTATGCTCTAGACACTCTTATTTCTGTTCCTCTCATATTCTATCAAACCTATAAAATGCGCCCACATTCCCTGTTAAAAAGGTCCCCACCCCCAAACTGAATATTTGCTTTTGCTTTTGTAATTACTTAGCTATAAATAATTTGTATGATTTACCACTAACTCTCATTTCTTTAGCTATTATCCACTTACAGTCGTAAGTTACGGCCACATTTTCTTAACGTAGTAAAACTTGTGAACACTGAATTTGGCTGAATGAAAATGGCACCGTGCAGACATCGAACGATCACTATCATTCCGTTCTGCGGTTTTCTTCTCAAGAGAAGACCGTCCCTCCTCGGACTCCGGCCGCGGCACCTCCCGGATGAAGCAGCCCCGAGGGCGGTGGGCCGCGTTCCCTCCGAGAGTGCTCTTCCCCACGCACGATACCCTGCTACTGCCCACGCTGCCGCTGTGCGCGAAACACAGCTCTTCATCTTGGCAGTACCTGAACCCTTCTGGGAAACTCACTGGTCCTTGAACGTTGGGTCCTAGAAACTGGGTCCAAAACATCCTCCCGGACGCCTGGCCAAGTCAGTCCTAACGGCTGTGACGCTGGACCGCCCCACGCCCCCTCCAGCAGGCAGGGAAACGCGGGCCTTCTCCGTCGCTGCTGCTGCTTCAGCCTCCCTTCTAAAGACTCATTACCACCTGCCTACTCCGCGACCCGGGTGATGAAACCAGCTGCCTCCGGGTCTGGAGACCTCACGACCCGCCGGGTCTCCAGGCATCGCCCTTGGGCCCCGAACCTGCCACCCCGAGCGGCGCGCGAGCCTAAGCGCGAGGACAGGCCGGCGCGGCCACGCGCGCCGAGAACGCCACCCGGGGCGGGGCGCCGGCGGCTACTCCGGGGACGAGCCCACCGCTCCTGGCCCGGAGCGCCGACGGCGCCCCGCCCCTAGCCCCGCCCATCGCCCCGCCCCTCTCACAGGTCTCGCGCGGACACGCGCCTGGCTCCGCCCCCGAGCACGGCCGCGCGCCCCCGGCCCCACTAGGGGCCGAGCCCACGAGGCGCGCAGAGTACTTACTTGTGGAAAGAAACGGGCTTATCCTTGTCGTATCGGTTCTTGCAGCCGTAGGCGGAACAGGACTGCACCATCCTCCCGGTCCTCAGTTACTTAACTTCTGCCGCCCCAGCAGGCAGTTGAGGCTGCTATCGATGTCGCCGCGCTCGGCTTTGACACCTTCACTGCTTCTGTAGTTTTGGTCAGCAGTTAGAGTGATGAGAGCCTTATTCGGAGTGACTCATGTGCTCGTTTTGTTGTTTGCATTAGCAGAAGGACCACAGCCATCGCCCGTCTCCCATCTCCAAAATGGCGGAGGCAGCTTCAACCTCACCTCTCGCGATGAGTTCGTCCTACTGTCTCTGATTAGCCCTGAGGTCAGAGGTAACGTTCCCTGGGACGCAGGCCATTGGCTGAGGCCCGGCGTGTCGCGAGGCGAGCTCGGCCTTGCGCAAGTGGGCGGGGCCTCCGAGCTTCCGGAAGGAAGAAGGAACTGCCTGGGGGGAGGGGAGGGGGAGTGGGCGGGAGCCCAGGGCCGGTTCCGCCCCCACGGTGCTTCGCTGGGTTACTTATCCCGGACGGTGTAGGGTGGAGAGCTAGACGGTCTGTTGGGTCAGCTGGGCTAAAGTAGGGCAGGTGTAAACCTGAGGGCGTTGGGCAGTTGCGCTCTTTTCTCTGAAAGCGCGGCCACAGATGGCGTGATTCCTAGAACTAGGTGGACTCCTCCTCTCCCAGCCCGCTGGCCTCCATCGCCTTACCTGCCTCTTCAGGTATCGCGAGGCTCTGAGGAGCCCAGGCCCCGGCGCCTAGCAGCGAGGGCGGACGCCCGCACGCAGCCGGCGGGCCGAGGCTGTTGGCTGCTGTAGCGATCTCAGTTAGCCCGTCCCCAGGTGCTGCGTCGGGAATCGCCGACAGCTGACGCGCCTTTCAGTCGGAGGGAGGTTTTGCCTCTTCCGTGGGTGCCGGTAATCTCGTGGCTCGTGATGAAGTGAGCAAGACTAGTATAGCCCCCGTGTTCATAGCGCTTATGTTCTACTGAGGGGAAGGCGTACAATAAAAAATATAAAAGAATCGCACTGTGCGAAGATGCCCGAATACGTTAGAACGCTGGAAGGGTGAATGAGGGCGGAGGAGAGGTCACTGCCTACTGTCTGAGAAGGGGGCCGTTGAATCTGAGAACCAGAGGGAGGGAAAAACATGTAACGGTGTAAAGAAGGAAGGTGGGCAGGCTGGGGAGAGCGTTCCTGGCCCAAGGAGTGTGTGCTACGACCCTGAGGCAGGAAGGAGTTTTGTCTTTTCTGGGAGCTGAATGGAGGCTGTGTGGTCGAGCCCATGAGCTAGGGAAGGAGGGCATGAAGTGAGGCTGAAGAGCAGCAAGTTGTTGGTCTGGATGTTAGCGCAGTGGGAAGCCGTTCAGCCATTTAAGCATTTTGAAAAAGTCATTCTGGCTGTTAAAGGAAGAGTTTATCAGTGAGGGGCAACAGCGAAACTGAGCCGACCAACTAAGGGGCTGTTTCAGGCAAGCAAGAGGTTGGCAGCTTTGGACTGAGGTGGTGGCAGCAGAGACATGTGTAAGGGGCAGAAGCACCAGAGCTTGCTGATGGATGAAAACGAGAATGAGGAGGAAAAGGATCAAGATATCGGGGGTGACTTGAGCGTGACTTTCTGGCTGGAGCAACTTAAGATAAATGGACGGTGGTGCCTTTTACTGAGATGCTGACGGCCTTAAAAAAAAAAAAAAATTAAAAAAAAACTATGTCCCCCAACAGGATAGAGGCCTGGGAGGGGAGGGAGTGATTCCGGAAGCTTTGGGGTTGTAGGACTGAGGAATGTCAGACGTGAAAGAAAGTATAAATAGTTCTGAGGTTGGGAATGCAGGCTACTAAAGAAGCGTGGAAGCTCCCCAGCCAGTCCAGGGTGCCCTTTTGAGGCTTGTGATCCAGTCATTTAAGTCGTTTGGTTGGATTTCCCTCAGCCAAGTTCTGTTCTCCCCTCCCCTTCTATCTTCTAGCTCTCCATAATTTGGAAATGAAATAAACATTTTTATTATGTGTTGACTATCATCCTAATGTTTCCTTACTTGAAAATGGTAAATTTACTGGTAAGGTGAATTGAATGTAATTAAAATATATATATTACTGAACTGAACTAAAGGTTGTATTTTTCTTTGTAAAAAAACAGTCCCCCGAACTAAATTTTCACAGTGTGGTCTGCAAATCAATTTATTTGCTTAATAGAAAAATAATTTTCAGTACCTCTAAACTAACCTGCACCCATCATTGGCTTCTCCTTTGCCCACTTCTTAACATTTCCTAAGGCTGGAATAACTGTTCCTTACTTGTCAAGGGGTGACTTCAAGGAAGCATTTTTACTTTTCAAAGATGATTGTCTGCTTTTTAAAAATGTTGATGGAAGCAACCCAAACGTCCATTAATAGTTGAGTAAGTTGTGGTACAGTCATACAGTGGAATACTATATAGCAATTAAAATAAAGCAGTCCCACAACCTGGATGATTCTTAACAAACATAATGTTGAAGAAGTCAGACACAAAAGAAATACACTATATGATTCTGTTTTTTGTAGAGTGAAAAAACAAAAGTAGGTAAAACTAAAGTCAGAAGAGGCTACTTTTGGGGAGAGAGGCAATGAAGGGGGGCTTATGGGATGGTGGTGGTAATGCATCTTTTGACCAAAGTGATGGTTAAACAGTGTGTTCACTTTATGATAATTCATCATCTGACCTCTATAAGATGTTTGGTATTTGTTCTACTTTAATAAAATAGCTTATTAAGCAAACAAGGGCCACACAAGATAGGCAAAACTGCCATTTTTTTTACAGAATGAGAGAGATGTTTATATGCTCTTATGATCTCTTCATCTGACCACTTCAGTAAATATCGAAAGTGAATATATGCGTAGCTTTATATGACCATTTAAGGGAAAGGGAATAAATAGGGATGAACTGAAGGATAGTTAGAAGTTTGATGTTCTTCAGAGTCTTCAGAGGCTGGGAGCTAATTCATTTACTAATAGAACACTTTTTAGGGAAAAAGGAAAATTTAACCCTTGACCTTACAAGGGTAGGTTCTGTCTCAGTTTTTCCAGCAGGGGACACTTTGTCTTCTTGCTTGATAAACTGAAGAAAAATACACCACTTTTTTGATGTTGGAGAAGACTAAGGCCTAAAGATGCCTTAAACTCACTGATCTCTAACAGTTTAGATTTTAGTTTCTATCCAACTATGCTGCTTTTTCTATAAACAGTTTTTATTTTAAAATACCCTCACATTCATTCTCTCTGGGCCTCATTATCTTCACCTGTAGAGTTAGGCTGTAGGACTGAGGAATTTCTAATTTGGAATCCATGAATGGTCAGCTCTTTGAATCCCCTGAAAATGAATCAAAACTATACGTATGTGTATATATGCATTTTTCTGGGGGAGCTATCCATAGGTTTTATCTGATTTTCACAGAGAAAACACAAAAACTAGTCAGTTTCTAAGGTCCCTTACAGCTGTTAACATTCTAGGATTCGTGAAACAAAGATTAATTTCCATGTAGATGTTAACTATAGGTTTCCTCTAAGACCGATTAGCAGGGTGAGTGTTTTGATCTGAATTATTAGATATTTTTGAGTAGTTATTTTTAAATTTTGTGTTTTAAAATTAATTAAAATCTAAACTGTTAGATGTAGTGAAGTTTAAAACATCTTTATTTAGCCCATAGCCCTCTCCTATGTCACATACTACATTCCCCTTAAAAGGCCACTAGTCTGGAAGAAAAAGGACAGTGTTCAGACATGCTCAGTGTTGTCTAACGGGTGTGTACTCCCCTCATGCCCCGTTCTGGACATGGGACAAGTCAGAGGAGGCAGTGGGTGGAGGGGACAGTGACTGATAACACCTGAGGTTTGCTTGCAGTCAGGAACTCGATGCTTCAAACAAATACTGATGCTGTGAAGATGGTCTGGTTCTGACTGAACAGCAAAAGCTCTACGATTGTCTTTATCTCTGTGACAGGATCGCCTCCTGTCGGCAGCCCTTAAAGCCTACTAACCTGGTCTTGGGAAACTCTTTAAGCCTTAGGGCCTTAAAACCTTGAGTGCCCTTTTCCTATCCCTCAGACTCAGAAAAGAACATTTCAGTTATCAACTATACAGTTTCAGTAAAATACACACTCAAAAGAAATAGGGGTGGGGAATCAGGGTGCAAGGGTACTGATTCCAATCTCACCCTTATTGTCCAGAATTAATATAGATTGCCCACATTAAATAATTTTTCTCAAAAACATTTCTACACTTAAAATTTTAAAATTAATTAGAAACGTGATGAGGTGAAAAAGAAAGCCACTGCAACCATTGTATTGAATGCTATTTCAGGAGTTTCGAATTTTAAAGCAGTGTCAAAGAAACCAGACAATAACAGCTACTCTTTAATTTTAGATATGTTGCTTTTATTCAAAAGAGTCACTGCTTGACAAACTCTTAAATCACAAGGTTTGAACCAAACTGTCAGTCCTCTGAAACAGCTCTGTGAGGTAGGTATCCGCACAGCCAGAGGGACCAGCACAGTCCTTTCTTCCCATGTTACTTTCAGTGCTGAGAACTATAGCAGCTGGAACCACTGTTCTAGTGGACAGTTAGAACAACTGTTTCCTCTGTCTCCCTCCCCACAGAGCTGCCCAAGTTATCATCTGCTCCTGGGGCTGGACCATCTGTTTTTTGAAAGTTACAATATTGTTGTTTACGAAAATCCAAACTGTTGCTTTGATTTATATGCTCTAACTCTGAATCACAGAAGTATTACTATGATGTTTAAAAATTTAAAACACTGATTGACTCTACTTGCTTTAAATACTCT